GGAAAGAGGAATCTATGACTAAATTGAAGAATCAGGGCCCACCCTATGTATGTAGCTAGGTCTTGACTGAGAATCTGTACAGCAGTTAAACATGACTGTTTTTCTTCAAAATCCTAAAAATAGGAGTAGAGGACACACACTGATATAAATAATAATAATAATAAATTAATAATTAACAGCATGATTGGGGAATTTAGCATGTTAAGAACTGGATTTAAAAACAAAACAAAAATACCAAAAATTACTACGGTGCACCCAATTGTGGAGGGGTTAACAGTTTTCATTCCTGGCAGAAAAGCAAGTTATTAAAAATGAGACCCTGGATTATTCAAGTGTAACACTGTACAGATTACAATCTATTTTTATTTTGAGGACGGCAACAGAGATATTGGCCTAAAAGATTTAATATAGCTGAAAAGTTCTATCTATTCTAAATATAAAAGTTGAAAATCTACAATGGATTGTTCCATTATGTCAGCCACTCCATTTCCCACCCCTTCCCGCTTACTGTCCCGGATAAAGGTTTTACTATGTTATGATTCATTCTATTCGTTATGTTTTTTTATAAACAGAAAATGAACATTTCAATGGGATTTAGCTGAATATGAAAGTCATTTTTGCTGGTGTAAATGGATTGATTTCAATCCATTGATTTCAATAACATTTCACCCACTTAAACCTGCAAAAGATTTGGTCCACTATATACATATAAGCCATTACCAATAAATAACAAAGGAAAAACTGTAAGTTTCTCCCTTGTTTATTTTATAGTATATACATGCCTATTGTTGTAGCATGTACTGCATGGATTTATGATAATAATGCAATACAAAAATGTTCAGGATACTTAAACAAGAGAAAACTCCACTATTCAATTACATTTCATCCTAATATAGGTTTTAGAATATAAATCTTTTATCATCTTTAATTTGGGCACTTTACAATTAACCATTTGCAGTCAAATCAAATCAATTATTTAAAAAGTACTGCGCCCTCTGCTTGCTACGCTCTCCAACCACATTTTCTCTGGGAATAGGTGTGGCCAGGGGGAGAGTGCAGGAGTAGGCTGGGGGCAAGGTGTCTGGCCAGGGGAGAAGGGCCAGGAGCAGGCTAGGGGTGCAGGATCTCAGTAGAAGTGGTGAGTGAGCAGGCTGGGAGCGCGAGATCTCGGCAGGGTGGTGAGTGAGGGGGCTGGAGGTGCACAGGTCTCGGCTGAGGGTGTGTGTGATGGGACTGGGGGTGCAGGGAGGGGGAATGGTACATGGCTCCCGGTCCCCCCCACGAGGGGGTAGGCTTCTCGACTCCCAGCCCCTTCCCCTCTCCCCCGCGAGGGGAGAGGGCATGTGGCTCCCAGTCCATGAGGGGGACAGCATATAGCTCCTCTCCCTTCCCCACCCCCCGGCGAGGGGATCTGGTGTGCAATTTCTGATGCCCCCTCCCCCACAAGGGGGGATGGTGCCACTCTGACCTGCTGGAGTATCAGGAAGAGAGGGAGGAGTAAGGGCAGCTGATGGAGGAGGGAGAGGCTGTGAGATACAGAGTGACATGAGGACAACACTCTGTAATTCCACAGGAAACGTTTTTTTTTTATAGAGAGAGATTTTTCTTTACTTTCTTTGTGATCACCAAAAACACTAACATACTTTTAATTTAATACAGAATTTTTTTGTCACAGCTTTAAGTCTTTTGATTATGTCTGTATTGAAGTAATTACTCTGCACACCATAGCTGACCTTGGAAACATAGTAATTACTGCTTCAGCACTGTGACCCCACTGAAGGATGGTGTAAGATAATGGGAAATGAAGGAACAAGCCCATGTTTAAACATGAATAGTTTGGCTAATGAACAAGTTTGTAAGAAACATGAGAAACAGATGAAAGGCAAAGAGCTTTACAGATGGAATGTCATAACGGTAACATATTGTACATGTATTAGACTAAAATTTTAAAGATGATCATTAATACATTTTCTGAAACACTCTGAATCTTGGACGTGTACTAGATGTAAAGACCTAAGGAACTAAACAACAAACCTACGTGATATGAGGTCAAAACATTTTTTCTCCTCTGGGTTTGTTTTCACTTGGCAAGTTAACAGATTGAGTTTTGCAGGAGGTCGGTTAGCCTATTTAAAAGATAAAAAACACAAAGTAATATCCCTTAGTAAGATGCATACTGATTAAGAAGTTTGCTTGTCTGTAGATACAATCTGTCTGTAGTTAAGCATACTATTTTATTACAAGACATCTGAGTATGACCACAAAGTTTCCAAAACTGTTTATCACCCATATTTTTGGGGCAATATAGAAGAGTAGGGCCAGCAGTACTTACACACATTTTATTTTTTTCTGGGTCCCAAATATGTAACCTAGACTCCCTTACCTAGTGACAGAATGGGTGTAATCAGGTGTGGGATGGAAGTGAGAGTACAGGCAGTCCCCGAGTTACGCGGATCCGACTTATGTCAGATCCGCAGTTACGAACGGGGTTCCTCTCCCTGGTCTCCAGCAGACCAGGGAGAGGAAACAAAGCGGCGGAACACGTGGGCAGCGGACAGGG